CAAAAGCCCACAGTGGTGGGAGAGGTCACAGGCCATAGCAGGGAGCTTAATTCTACTGTTAGCTAATCTGACAAATCATTGAACAGCCTTCTAAATGTATACCTTTACACCCATAGACAATTACCACTCTTAACTTTAATTGGAAGCCTCTCTCCAGTGAATTGCTGTGAATACAGACTATGTCTGTAGAAGAAGACGAGAATAAGTAATGGTTGAGAGCTCAGCCCTAGACAAGACCTTTGTACCATGGCCTCTGAGGCTCAGGGGACGTCATGGAAGAGGAGGTTGGAATAACGCAAAAGAAAGGGAGAAAGGCTACAAAATGGCATTACTCAGCCACTGCAATCAGGCTCTCATCAACCGCAGATGTCTGCTCTGGGTCTTCATGAGAATGGGTTCATCAACAGTCAGATACAGATGGAGGAGGGGTCTGTGGTTCGTACTGTGGTTCTCCTCACTGCTGAACTCTTTTCTACTGATAGATTCAGGAAAAGGGGGAGTCGTTGCCTTCAGTTGTGTGCCACTGGTACCCCACAAAGTTCCAATGGACAATCCTAAGCCAAAGGTCACACAAATGACCCTGGTTAAACTAAATAGGTTACAAAACTAGATTAAAAAGTCACAAATCTGGGTTGGGAGATAAAAAAGGGGAGAGGAAAGTATGGAATTGTCAAAGAACTTAGTTAATACTATAAATAAATAAATAAATAAATAAATAAATAAATAAATAAATAACAGGACAAATGCTCCAAGACAGGCCCCCTTGTGGCATAAATGTCTTTCCAGGACCACTGAGGGAGAAGTCTAGAACAGGCTATTTTAACAACTACCCCAGATGACTTAACAGTACACAGTAAGTCTGAGCATAAACCATTTACATTCTAAGTAGTACATTATAAATGTTCCCAATGTAAATATCTTTTATAAACATAACGACAAATTCAAGAAAACAATAACATTATAGTCTTCCATATTATTTTTACAAATTTTTTGAACCCTATCATTTAGCCCAGAATAATAGAAATTTTTTTTGAAGAAAAGGAAAAATACGAATTTTTTAAAATAAGCTATAATATAAAATATTTATCTTTCTCAACCCTAGAAAAGCTATTTATTCTCATTGGGACTTCTTTCCTGCATAGAAGGCAAAACCAGACGCCTTACTGGTTGGAAGAGTATCTAGAGGTGTTTATACAATCAGAGGCAAGCAGTAGAGCATGGTGGGCAAGCAATCGAATCCCTGGTCATGGTCTTCTCCACTCACTGATTGTAATACCTTTCATTCCATACGTAACTTCTGTGAGGTTATACTTCCTAAGTTAGTATTACCAATAATATCAATCTCAAAGTTCAGAAGTTAAAGTGGAGTGACACTCAGAAGATCTTTAGCACACAGAATGCTTAACAAATTCTCAGAATAACACTTAGACACAATGTCCTCAATCCAATACCCAAAAACAGGATAAGGCCATTTTTTACTTTTCCAGCCCATAGACAGTCTCTAGAACAGGGACGTGCAAAGTCCAGCAACTCCCCCTTGGCTCATCTCGGCAGAACGCTCACATGTGAGAGATCAGCATATCCACATGTGGGCTGTGTCAGGCCCAAACATCATGACCTCAGAGGCCATACTGTGTACCCCTGACATGACTGATAGTGCCTTCCGCCCAGTGGGCTTCAACAAACAAGTGTTAAGCTTCAATGTGTTTAGATACTCTGGGTTTGTATCCATTTAATTCCTTTCCTCACAGGTGTCCTAGCCAAGACAATGAAGCAAGAAGCTACAATAAGCAAAGCAGGACAGACAATGTGAAGTCAGTCACAACACAGCATATTCCCTCTGGTGGCCTCAAATCTTGTTTAAATCTGTTAGCTAGTGTTACAAAATGCATTTCTCTAATATTTCATTTGAGTCTTCATTTCCTCAAAGCCTTGGGGCTAGCAGAGCATTAGGTAGCAGACAAGAAGACAGCACTGTTTGGTTTCAAATTGTTCGCAACCTGAGAAATCCAGATGTGTCAGGCATTGGTGGGCAGAATGGTGCCGAGGGCAGAATGGAGTTTGGAAGTTTTTCAGTCAAGAAATGGTTTCTACTACATGCTCATTGACAAGCTCAATGTCAACCTGAGCAACAGGTTATGCCAACTCTGAAGCTGAAACTTGACATCTTCCTTGGCAAGTGCCGACAGTCAAATGCCAAAATACCAATCCAAATGTCCCCTCACACCTACTTCTTTTTCCCCAACTGTTAGTGAGGGTGTATATAAAAGAATAGCAAGAAGGCCAAATCAGAAGGAAAAGGAGGCCGAACTTAGGACTTTCAGAGAATAATGATGATGGGCCTAAATTCTGATGTTCACTGTTAATTCTACTGACAAATAAAGAGACTCCAATTTTTCTAAGAAACAGTTCAACTTGGAGATGGCTCGGTGGTTAAGAGTACTAGCTGCTCTTGCAGAGGATCTGGGTTCGATAATCAGCACCCACATGGTGACTAACATAGGGGGTCCAATGCCCTCTTCTGATCTCTGCAAGTGTTGCATGACACAGGTGCACTTATATACATGCAGGCAATACACTTGTACACATAAAATAAAAATAATAAAATATTTTTTAAAAAGAAAAACTGTTCATTTATGATAGATACTATTACAAAGATATTTAGCTTCTTTCTGGCAAGAGGTACCTACAAGTGAACATTTTTTACCTAAAACCTGCGGAGATTGCTGGTTACCTGAGGAAGCAACAGATGCCTTTCTTGGACACGAAATCTAAGAACAGAGCAACCCATCGTTGGGTTGACTAGGCTCAAACACACCAACAACATCTAAAGAAAGTAACTGATGGTTTAAAGAAAATGGATGCTTTGAGGATTGAGGATTTTTTAGCTAGCTGAGATAACAAAGCTAATTACTTGGTAGGTCAGAGGGTACTGAAGACATGTGTTATATGTCCTTCGCTCCCCTATAGCTGGGAACTCTGTATTTCCTTTGTAGCTCCCTCAGAAAGCCTAGTACCAGGCATATAGAAAGTACATAAATTCTTTTAACTAAAAAGATCTCAATCTCATTATTGTTAAAGAAGAAACCTCTATATATACATATATTTAAGAGATACTTAAAGAAATTTACTAAAGATTAAGTCATTTTAAAATCTACACTAGAGCTGGGCATGGTGGCACAGGCCTTTGATCCCAGCACTCAGGAGGCAGAGGCAGGAGGATCTCTGCGAGTTCAAGGCCACATAGTGAATTCTAGGACAGCTGGGGCTACAGGGAGACCCTGTCTCAAAAAGACCATAATTAATTAATTGATTAATTAATTAATTAATTAAGCTTAATCTACACTAGGAAGCTTTCCTCTATGAAGAAGCTGATCTCTTGAGGCTACTCCTATTCTCTCAAGCAGCCTATTGTGCCTGTTTTCCCAGTTAAAGCAGAAACATAATAGGAAACCATCAGAAGATTCTGAATTCCATGGTGCCTGAGCAAGGTAATTCAGGATTCTGCATCTCCCTCCTTGCATGGGGCTATTTGGAGAGAGAATGCAGCCAACTCCCAAAACAACTCCAAACATAAAGCATAACAAGGAAGTTAATGAACACTAAGCTGCCACCTATCAAGAGTATTCTGAAATTTCCACAAAGTTGCTAAAGAGAAATAGCTGACACTGATGCCAGTGTCACAGACACCTGCAGTACCAGCAGGTTCATTCGTGTGCTCCTGGGTGACCCCAGAGAACATCACCCTCTCTGGCGGCAGAGGGGCAGCTCCACTTGCCAAACTCACCTACACAGTGCCCAGCGCCTACCTCTAAAGGGGAGAATCTCATGCCCTCTCTGACCAGGCTGATTGATATTCACTGGGTTCCCTCCCAGTCACACTCCCACAGTGGTCTTCCCTGTCCATCTCGTAGACTCTCACTGAACCAGCTGATTCATTTGCCAGGACTTCACAATCATCCTCCCTGACCCTGAACTCTAGACCTACATAAATAATGATAACCTACTTGCTATCTTCACTTGAATTTGCAAAATTTGAACAAATATTTCTTGAGTATCACTCCCATTTTATTTCTAGAATGTCCCAGGTTTGAAATTCATCAAGTAGTAAAATAAAAACTCCTGTCCTCGTGGAGCTTACAATATAGTGACATATTTGCCAGACTAAGTTTTGTGAAAATAACTAGCTAGCTTCCAGTACTCCTACACCCCCATGCCGCCCTCCCTGCCTGTGCATTCTCAGTTGAGGATATTACCACTCACTCACCAGCTTTTTTCCACCTCATCCTCCTAAAGTGCCAAATCCTGTCAGGTTTACCTCTGCTTATCTCTGAAACCACTGGTGCCCCTCCCCGCCTCACCCTAGCCTGCTGTCTTTTTTTGGCCTCTTGTCAGCACCCCTGTCTGAACTCCCTCATCTCTCACCTGCTTCCACCCTGTAGCCACAGTGGTCTTTCTGAAGCATGCTAACTGAAGACTACTGCCCACTGCTCAACAGATGCTAGCTCCTCTGCCAGCCCTACTATCTGACTGACCTTGCCTACCCTCCATGCTCCTGGAACATTCCATGACTCCTATTCATTCGCTCCCTCTTGTACACACTGCCTCAGCCCTCTCTCCATCTCCTGGCCTGCTAGATCCCTGCTCATTCCTTAAGGACTAACTTGGCTGGCATCTCTTCTAGGGAGACTTCCCCCGCTCAAGAAAGCTAACTCGCTTCCTTCTCCAGTGCTGCCCTGGCTTTGCACTGATCTGCTTTCTATTTCCCTCCATTCCAGACTGAGAACTCATCAGGGTCTAGGTTCATGCTGCCCAGATTACCCCAGACACCTCTTGTACCATGGCTGGCTTGCAGGAGACATATAAACAGCTGCCCGTTTTGGTGACCCTCTTGTGCTAGAGGTAAAAGCTTTTTGTCCACCCATGAGGATCCTGAACTCAGGGGAAAAAATTCTTTTTCTAGGGACAGTAGCTATTATATTAAATAAGGAATCACTCACTTCACTTCTGGAAGCAACAGCTCGATGTAGTGGGGTCAGCCACATGTTGTCCTTGGCATTTACACGAGCTCCTGCAACCAAACAGCACAAGTTAGAGGCCACAGAGTCCCAGGATTTTCTGCTAGTGTCATTCAAATGCCATGTGTTGCCCCTGTTTGCCTAGTATAAGCAGCAGATTCTCTTTTCTTTGCATCAGTCACAGTGTGACAAGATTTTATATGGGCTGAGGAAACAAAAACAAAATGTGTCTTATCCTAAAGTCTCAGTAATTTCTCTAGGACTATCCATAATCTTTTACTACATGAAGCAGTTTTCTGTGAAGTTTTTGGACAGGGGGCCTGTGTAAACTGCTCACAGTTCTTGTGTGCTATAGAGTACACAAACAGGCTCAAACCAAGCTGGAACAGATTCACATGAGAGGCACACACCGTGCTCAACTCTCTGAAGCCAGGTCACCAGCACTGAGCAGAAACTGCATGTGAATGAACTCGTGGGAAACAGAATACTCCTGCTCCCTTGACACCCCACACTCTCCATGACAGCAAACCCACAAGACTATGTCTCAGCATTGGAAACACCCTACACAAGTTTCCTTTCTTGTGGGTCAGGGTTCTAAAATATATTTTATTTATTATTTATTATTTTATGCTTATGAATGCATTGCCTGCATGCATGCAAGTGCACCTATGTGTTATGCAATGCCCACAGAGGTCAGAAGAGGGCATCAGATCCCCTGGAACTGGAGTTACAGACAGTTGTCAGCCACTATGTGGGTGGCTGGGAATCAAACCTGGGTCCTCTGCAAGCACAGAGGTGCTCTTAACCACTGAGCAATCTCTCCAGCCCCTGGTTCAGGGTTTTGACCAATCTGGGCAGAGATGGAATGTTTTATAAAAGGACTATGAAAGGGGAGGTGATAACTGTGTAAGGTGTCTGCATATGCTTAAGAAAAGCCAATTTAGTCTTAGGACAGGGAAGATGCTCACGAGGAAGAACAGAGGAAAGAATCAAAGAACTAAGAAGTACGGCAGGGAAAGGGAAGAAAAGAGGAGATGCCTTGGGGACAAGACTGAGAGAGTCAAGTGGAAACAGAGGCTGACTAATGTCACCAACAGCTGAAAACAAACCTAGAAAGGCAGCACAAGACTTCCACAGGCAAAAGTGGACTAGTGTGTAAACCATTGACAAAAAAATAACTAACTGTAGAACTGATACTATCTTTTCTTTGAGAAAAAAATGTCATCAACAGTATTCAAAAAACACAAAACAACATAATGTCTAAAACAAAGGAAATACCCCACCCCTTCGGTCCTGACTGACTTCATGTCATCAGGCACAAGTGTGTTTATAGTTCAAGGTTATTGTAGCATGTTGTCAAGGTTGAGAGCCACTACTGAATTGTTTGGTTTTAATCAATGTTAAAATAACATGAAAGTCAATTTCACTAACTCCAGTTTGCTTCAAAGGGCTCAAAGCCCAGCCCTCAATGAGGACCACAATAGAATCAAAAGCTCTGGGCCAAATGTTCTGGAGTAAAATGGGTTGGAAGGACAGTGGGGCTTACGGGCAAAGACTTGGATTCGAATTCTAAATTCAGCATCCACTGGTCCAAAGACCTAGAGCCATTAATCTGTAAAGTGAGGCTAACAATAAAACTAAGACTTCCATACTCACTTACTGGGTGCTTGGGAGAATGAGATGAATGTGAAGATGCTTTGTAAATTACAAAATATTACCTCAAAATTACATCTAATATCTCACTCACCGCTAAGTCTACAACTCAGATTTTCAGGTAAGTGAAAAGTATGGTGCAAACTCAGTGATCTAATAACACAAAGAACTATCACAGTAGGACAGACACACAAGCACATTCCTTTTAATTAACAATTTTATTACATTTACTTATGTATTTATTGTATGCGCCCATGTGTCCACACATGTGGAGGTCAGAGTTTTCTCCTTCCACCATGTGGGTCCAGGTTATCCAGGAGATCAAATGTAGATTACCAGGCTTGGAGGTGAGTACCTTTATCCACTAAGCCATCTGGATGGCCCCACAAGTGCATTTGTTTTAAATGCAAGAGAGACTCAAATGTTACTGAATGCTGAGGCAGAGGAAACCCAGATGTGATTAAAACAGAAAAACTGGTGACTTTTAAAACAAATTTCCCATTACCAAAAACATATTTGAGATTTTCTCCCCTAAGTCTTGATTCCAGCAGAGGACCAGTGGTTGTTACAAAGCAGACCTTTCTGATTTAGAAATAAATAGCATTTATCCCAACAGGTCCTAGTATTTCTTCTTCCAACATTCTAGAAGGTAGTCAATGCTTTTAAAATTACCCACCTCTTCCTCAGGACTTTTCTTAGGTCATGAATATGTATAGTAAAATCACATATATAGTTTAAATCACATCTCTTAGCCAACCAAATGCATGGTGGTCATTTATTTTTAGGCTGCTTCTTTGGCCCTCAGGTCACGCAGACTTCACACAGTCCTAAGGGTTGGATTCGGGCCTATTATTCATAGTTTGGACAAAGTAAATTTGTGTTTCAAATTTTTTTATAGATACAAAAAGCTATTGCAAGAAGAAAGCCCAAATGAAAACACATATGGAAAGATGCTTTTCATAATTCATCAGGAAGAAACAAATAAAGGCAATCAATGTTAACGTCATTTAATACCTATCTGGCCCGTGGAGGCCAGAAGAAAGCATTGGATCCCCTGAAACTGGAGTTCTGGATGGTTCTTAGCCTCTGTGTGGGCACTGGGAACAGAACCCTGGGTCTCTCAAAGAATAGCCAGTGCTCTTAACTGCTGAGCCATCTTTCCAGCTCCCCCACAAAATATTTTTTTAAAAAGATAGAGAAGGGCTGGGGAGAAGGTTCAGAGATTAAGAACATTGGCTACTCTTGCAGAAGACCCAGGTTGGAATCCCAGCACCCATATAGTGGCTAACAAGCATCTGTAACTCCAGTTCCAGGGAATCTGACGCCCTCTTCTGGCCTCCATGGGCACTGCATGACATGGATTTACTCATATACATGCAGAGATAACACTCATACACAAAATAAAAAAGGTAGAGAGAGGGATAGAAAGAAATTTCTGGAAGTGGTAGGTATGTCTATTATTTTGATTGTAGCAATGATTTCATGAGTATATGCATATGTCTAAACTCAGCAAATTATATATAGTTTAATTAAGTAGTTTACAATATATTGATTCTATGTTAACAAAATTCTTTTAAAATATTTTATTATTTTTATTCTATGTATATGAGTGTATTGTCCACATGTGCGTAAGTGCACCTATGCCATGCAGTGCCCACAGAGGTCAGACAAGAGCATCAAATTCCCCTGGAACTGGAGTTACAGACAGTTGTTAGCTTGCCATGTAGGCACTGGGAATTGAACCCAGGTCCTCTGCAAGAGCAGCCAGTGCTCTTAACCACTGACCCATCTCTCCAGCCTAAGAAATTCTTTTAAAAATAAATAAAAACTATTACAAATCTGACTGGAAGAAAATGGCATCTGACTTTTGTGTCCTCTTTGATACTAAGGTTGAGTATTTTCCAATGTCTGCTTTCTGTCTATAAGCCATTTCCTGAGAATTACTTGTTCATATTTTTGCCTATTTCCCCTTTTAATTTTTTTCCTTTTGAATTATTTTTTATTGATTTTTTTGTGTGTATTTCATACAGAACATCCCAAATAAAATTCGTCTTTATACCCACATCCCAAATGGCACCCTCCCATAGTCCTGCCACACACAATGGAGCCCATATAATCTGCCATCCCTGTTACTGTCCACTGTGTTCTCAGTGCCCCTAGCCGTTCCCATCTGCTGAGCCTAGTCAGCCTATCTAGAGTCCCTTGTTTTAGGAAGATCAGCTCTTCCTCATCTAGCAGCAATCAGCCAACATTCCTTTAGATAAGATTGGGGTCTGCTGTTCATTTTCCCAGTTCTACGATGGGTTACTATAAGGGTGTCTCTTGGGCCACCCTGGCCAACAACTCAAAGGAAGGTATCTTCCAAGAAAAGCCAGCCATGGTCAAGCAGGACCTTTGACTTATCTTCACATAGAAGGAGCTGATAAAAGAAAGGAGCCAGGGGCTCCTCCCAAGCCCATGTGACCCCTGAGGAACAGATCCTCAAAAAGAGTAAAATTAAATTGGTTTATCTGGGCCAACTGTATGGTCTTAAACACCCACAAGGAAAATATAACCAGGATCATTATATTTCTTTTAGAACCTATGTGTATAGCTAAAGGCTACATAACAAGAAACAATCCCCATTTAATTTTTAAATTTACAAATATATACCTATATTGTTATTGCTGTCACTGTTAACTATAGATTTTGAAACTCTTTAGTTTCATATGACCCAAATGTGGCTTTCAATATTAAAACTGTCTCGAGGACAAAAATAACGGTTGTATGCTGGTTCTCTCAGAGACACACACTGCACACAGTCTGATGGCATTGTTAGGTACAGTGTACGGCCTCAGAGGCACTTGAAAAGTGAAACAACACATGATTAGGGAGGAAATGGCAACATGTAAACCTCCATTCAGCCTCTCATGCTCCTCCAGGAGGCTAGCCGGGCAGCTGCCAGAAGCTCCTCTCTCCACAGCAGGGAGCTGTGACAGCGTGCTACCTGCTTGTTTCATAGGTGCCATCCCCGAGGCTGGCGTCCCATCCTCTTCCTCTCAACACTTTGGAGAGTCTTGTTTTACTCTGGGGGAGGGGGTGTCAGATGGCTCAAGCTCTGCATTGAATATTTATAACTGATTTTTTCTAAAGGAAGCTCCATGTTATTTACCTGCCTGTCAGGCACCATTGTGTACTGAAGGACACAGTCTGCATGGCTAATGATTTAAAGGCAGTGTCCTTTACCCAAGGACATTGCAATCCTAAACATGAAAGTAAGTGCTAAATCTTCAGAAACAAAAACAAAAGCCCAGTTAAAAATTATCAGGCACGAATTCTAACTACCAATTAAGCATGGGCTTAATTGTATTCCCAAGAGATGGGGGTAAAGAGAACTCTGGCATCTTGTCTAGAGGCAGTATTTCTGTTCTCTTAGCCTTGTCAGGCAGGAAGAAGTGGAAGGGATAAAAAGACAAGTAATATCAAGGCAGGCTGAATGGCAGGACATTCCTACTGACCAGAGACAATTCATCTGAAGGCAAGTTCATCCGAAGACTGGCATTTCATTGTTGAGATAAATAAGCATTAAAGTAAAAGCATATGAAATATGACTATAATATAATGCAGTTGGGTTGCTATTTGATTTTTCATTTTCTCAAACAGACGAGATCTTACCACAGCTCAGGGAATCCTATCTTTCCAAGTAATTACCTTGAGAAAGTCTATAAGGCCACGTATGTGGGAACTATTCAAAGCATTTTTCAGACTCCCTTTAGAGTTGCCTCCAGAGCCAGCTTACACACTCACCAGAAGATGGCATATTATTTAATAATTGTACCATATCTGTGGTCACGATATGTCTTGTTTAATCACCTCTTTTGCCAGATTTTGAAAAAAAAAATTAATCTTCAAAGAATGAATATTTATTAGGCATAAAAATAAAGAATTGAGTGCCACTAGCTCTGCAGGCAATTGGCATTGAGACTAGAAAGCACAATTAGAAAACTCACAGGAAATCATTTTGCAGGACTACCCCTTGTTTGGTGCATAGGTTCTAGTAAATTTATTTATTACTCATTTATTTGTATGTGCATATGATATGTGCTTGCAGGTTTATGTGTACGCATCTGCATCGTGTGTGTAGGTACACATGCAAGGGTATGTGATCTGTCCACCTTGTGTTTTGAGACAGTCTCCTCTCGCTGGGACCTGGGGCTTTCCAATTAGGCTAGGCTGGCTGGGCAGCAAGCCCCAGGGACCCTGCTGTCTCCATCTCTCCAACTCTGGGATTACAAGTACACACCACCCCACCTGGTTATCTACTTAGACGCTGGGAATCAAACTCAGTTTCTCATGCTTGTATAGTAAGTACTTTACTAAGCCCAACCCCTTTACAAAATTTCTTTTCTACTTAGTAATTACACCCGACAAACTCCCATACTAGAGCATGCACCCTTCTAGTGTTTTCTTTCAACCAGGACCCCATCACCTTTGCGCATCCTGAGTTCTTTCTATAGAATATTCCTGTTGTGGTCATTTTCCTGCAAGTGGTGCTATATCTCAACTCTAATCTCAGCTCTCTACCACTGATTGGTTCTCGTTAATCCACTACTGTCTTCTCAGTTCCATTCATCTGGCTAATGGGAAACAAAATCAATAGTAACTTAGTGAGTTTGGGTTTCAGTACACTAAGAGTGTATTCAACAACAGAGAGCACAGCTGTAACAGGCTATTTTGGCAAGGCTAAATTGTTTGTCTAACATGGGAATCATTAACATCTCATTCATTATTAAATTGGAAACTAGTGTGGTTGGATTCCCTAAAGGCTCAGCTGTCAGATTCAAGCTCAGAATTGAAATCACTATACTCTTGAATTTCTTCAGGGATATAAAATATAAATTGAATAAAAGTCCTTTCAGGGAAAATGAAAGCTATGTGAATTTCAAACTCTGTTAAACAAATTTCAAACTCTGTTAAATAAAATGTTTAAAAACTGTCCCAAAGTTCTCCTATACCCTAAGTCTTCCCAATTTGATGGGGAGAAAGGAAGGAAGGAGAGAAAAATTCTATAGCAAACCAAAATTATACTAAAGAGATTAACAGTTCAGAAATTCTAATACCAAACAGGTGTACATATCAAGATACGTATAACACCCTTGTGGCCCTGCCACATCAGCCACAGGTACAAAGAGACTGATAGATTCTATTCCCATGTGAAGATGATACCAGACCAAGGTTGTCAAGCAACTCTAGCCTAGTATGAATGAACCTCGTGATGCAGAGTTAAGACCTTCCCTTTCAAAGCTGATGCAGTTGGAGCATGAATTTGAGGCTAGCTTGTACAACACAGCCAGACCCTGTCTCAAATAAACAAAACTTCAAGCTATAGAAACAGTAACAGCTCAAGTTGGAATATAAGTTAAAGATTTTAATTTCTACTGTGAGGTCTTTTGTTAAACAATTTCCATTATTTTATTAATACGCTTAGATGAGCATACACAGAGATGGGTTTCAGCATGGCATCTTCATGCGTATGTGTCATTATACTTTGTCCTCATTCCCTTCCCTTACTCTCCTGCCATTTGCCCCTCCCTCCCTGTGCGATATCTTTTTTAATATTTGTTTTTATTTATTTACTTATTTTGTGTGTGTAGTGTATGCCACATGAATGTGGGTACCTGTAGAGGCCAGAAGAGGGTGTTGAATCCCCTGGAGCTGGAGTTACAGGTGGTTACAAGCCACCTGATGTGAATGCTGGGAACTGAACCCAGGTCCTTTGCAAGAGCAGCAAGAGCTCTTAACTGTTGAGCTACCTGTCCAGTCTCTGAGATCTTTTAACACAGGTTGAAGATCCCTTGTCCAAAATACCTTAGCCCAGAAGTGATTCAGAGTTTGGATTTAGAGGGAAGGGTTTGAGTCTATTTGGATATACATAATGGGACAGGACCCAAACCAACACATGAAATTCACTTATGTTTCATATATACCTTATACACATAGTCTGAAGGAAATTCAATACAATTCAGTACCTGTATTTTGACAGTGGCCTGCTGCTTTAGCCAGCTGTGGAACTTTCCACTTGTGACATTATATGGCATCATGTCAGCCCTTTGGAACATTTTGGATTTTAGACTTTCTGATAAGAGATGCTCAACATGAACGATGTCTGGGTGATGATATAGTTGTTTGGAACACAGCCCTGGAATACCCTCAGATTTGTCCAAAAAAAGATCTGCTCTTGAAAGCACAAGGAATGCCCACCAAATTTAGCCCTGGTAGGACTGTGAGTACTATTCAGACATAGAATACTTGTCTCCTAATACAAGTCGGGTGTGGTGGAGAACACCTTTAATTCCAGCACTTGGGAGGCAGAGGCAGACAGTGAGTTCAAGGCCAGTCTGGTCTACATAGTAAGTTTCAGGTCAACTGGGGCAACAGGGAGACCCTGTCTCAAAGAAGACCCTCCCCACCAAGAAAAAAAGAAACTCACCCAAAGAACAGGAACAGCATAAAACTGAGTGCAGCATGAACCTTCCTTGTGTATCACAGCATGATTCTTTCTTTCCAGAACTTCACATCCATGCGGTCACAAGGACCAGCTTTTACCTGAGCACTGCTTACTTTGGAACTTTATCATTTCCCCTAACTACTGCAAACTAGGCCTTTTGTCTAGTCCACTGGCAAAGGCATTTCCTCTAGATTTTAATCTCTCCAAACAAAAACCAGGAGAAGGAAAGACAGCCTATCTACATACAATCTACAATGAGGCATGTACATGTTGTCCAGGGTCATTCCAGGGATTTGTCTAGCACACATTCAAAGAAGAAACCACATAATGGTGAGATGTACTGACCATGCAGGATTCCAGAAATAAACATATTAGCATCTTTAAATCAGATGAAATATTTAAAACACAGAGAATTACAAAGAAAATAAAGATCAGTGGGCACAGAGACTAAATTTCACATGTTTCCCATAGTTACACCCATTTTTAAAAATATAAAATATTTGGCCAGGCATGGTGGCACATGGTTTTAATTCCAGCACTGGAGAGGCAGAGGCAAGTGAAATCTCAGTGAAGTTGAGGCCAGTCTAGTCTACAGTGAGTTCCAGGCCAGCTAGGGCTACAGAAAGACCCTGTCTCAAAAAAACAACAAAAAATGTATATATTTTATAGAATATAGTAACTTCTTGCCTTTCCATGGAGATATTTCTCAATCAACCTGCCTACTCAGAGATTGATATGGTCCCTTATATCTGTACTCATACTTTTATTGTATAATAATAGTTGCCCATACCCACAGTGTAAGAAAACTAGTATTATTTTGTGACACAATATTCATATATGTACATAGGCACACTTAGTAAACATACATATTTTGTGAATATACATATTAGTTCATATAGCATATATAGTATGTGTGTTCATGTAGACATTGAGCTAATCTTCTTACTGCTAAAAAAACATATCAGGGCTGGAGAGATGGCTCAGCAGTTAAGAACGCTGGTTGTTCTTACAGAAGACCTGGGTTCGAATCCCAGCACCCACATGGCAGCTAACAACTGTCTGTATCTCTAGTCCCAGGGGATCCGACAGCCTCTTCTGACCTCCGCAGGCATTGCATGACATGGGTGCACTTACCTACATGCAGGCAATACACGCATACACATAAAATTAATAAAAAAAATATCAAGATATTTAAATGTACTAAACATGTCTGTAAGGCCAAGCCTGACTAGACAGGCAGGAACCAGGCTGTCAAAGTAATATTTAAAAGTTTTACTTGAGAAGCTGCTGTTCAATAACAATTTCTTTCATTGTGTTTCATGTACAGACACTGCTGATCAAATAAACTTCTATGAGCAAGGTAAAGAAGTTTTGTTTGCACTCATATTTGCCAATCTAGTAAATTGGCCATTTAAGCTTTCATGAGCAACTAACATTTGAATACAGCAGTTATTTACCTGACAAAATCAGGAGTTCGATGATCTCTGCATCTCCCAGGAATGCAGCCACATGAAGCGGGGTTCGTTTCTCAGAATCCTGAAATAAACAATGTCAAAGATGCACAACAGGTTAAGATGTGTTGTTCACTCTGAGGTTCATGTTTTCAGATAAGCTTGAGGGCCAAACATCTACTCAGGTGAGTTGTGGTTAAAATTGTCTCTTTGGTACTCCACAGTCACATGTAATAAAAGGTTCCATTTTCCGTGTCTGTGTGTGACATTTGCCTGCCTGCTCATTTTACTAAAGCCCAGCTCAGGTCAAGGGTGAGCCTTCATACATTGAACGATGTATCTCAATTTTTTTTCAAATCTTTAGTAAGGTAAAAAAAAAAAAAAATTAAAAAAAAAATCCCCAACCTTTCCAATCTACCAGCACAGTTCAAAGCTTTCCCAAATTTTATTTTTCTTTCTAAGGGAACACAGTAAAATTGTCCACAAGGACATTAATATAAACACAATCATTCTTCCCTAGCCTTTGTTGGGTTTATTTACCTGTTGGGTTACTCCTGATTGACTAATATGTTATTGTGAGGATAAAGAGAAGTAAGATTTGTCATTTACCTCAAGAATTTTTATAGTTACTGCTCAAATTAATATACCTGATTCTCACATTAGCACACAGATTTTCAAGCAATAAAACTTTATTTTCAAAGATGTGGTGATGCTGCTATAATAGGGTTCATCATGGTCATACAGTTGACTGGACTTTTCAACCCATGGCATTATGATAGCTGTGGACTGCTCTGTTTTCACTTATCTGTGTTGGCACACTGTCTCTGCCAATGACTTTAGTGCCCATTTGTGGAGTTCTTGCTGTGTACCAGCTTTCTGCTTGCCTGGGGCTTTATTTACTCACATTATCTGGGCTCCTCTTAGCTCTCTGAGGTAGGTATTATTATCTCTTGTTTATAGAAGGGGAGGTTATATTTCCCTCCTGTATGTTAATATACTGCCTCTCCAGATGTATTAAATCCTTTGTCAAGGACATCAGCTAGAATCTGATAGTTGAAGGTCCAACCTTGTCTCTGTTATGTACCTGTAGGGCCTCAAAGTTTCCTGATCTGTTTGAGCCAGTTTTTTCATATATATAAAATAGAGAAAGAGTAGAATTGCCTTATCTCTCAGCTTAAACAACATCCTCAGAAAGGCCTTGCCATTTAATAAGGCTAAAACTCACTAATATCTAAAGCAGGTGACTTGTTTCTATCCACAGTCACTAATTCCATTCTGTTTCAGCCTTGTCATGGCCTTTATCACCATCTAAGTGATCTCATATGGTGAGATCACTGAACTAGTGATGAACTAGTGCTGAACTAGTCCATAAGCACGGCCTCTTCCAGGACCATCCATCAATTATTCTGATGATAACTAAAGTCCAACCTCTCTATAGCTTCTCCCAAAGCTGCACACTTCACAAATTCTTGGATTCCCTGTTGATCCTAATTCCTGTTATCACTAGATTAAACAATCCACCTACCAAACTTTTAGTAGCTCAGGGATATTAGTCCATTTTCTTGAGGTGCAAGCCCTCCCTCTCTCCCTTTGTCTCTTTTAGACTATTGCTGTGAGCGTTTCGTGACTCACTGATATCTAAAACAGAGGGAAGGCAGGGGACATAACAAGACTTGCTCTTCAAACCACTTGTTTGAAGACCTAGTAAGTAGTTTTATGGACTAATATCAAGTGGATAAAAAGAGGAGTTTGAATTAACTGGAAACATGTCATCTATGTCTGACTGCAGACAACATAACAGATAAATGAAAACAAGAGTCTGCAACTAATAAATAATGGCATTGGTGGGAGAATTCAGTTACATGACCATAACAAACCCTATTACAACTACATCACCCTAACTTTGAAAATAAAGATTTTGTGCTTGAAAAATCTACATACTAATAAGAGACTCAAGTATGTTAATATAGGCAATAAACTATAAAACCAGCTAAGGCCAGGTTTGCACAAGTATTTTCTATTACTATTTTGTCTACTGATATCCTATTTCAGTATGCTGTTTTAATCTCCTAGTCTCTCTGAATCCTCACTAAGTTTGGTTAAATATTTCTTTTAGGTCTTAGGACAAGGGTTATGTAATTATATGTTGTTCTGTGAATTGAATTAGAGTCAAGGTTTGGTTGAACAAATTCAGCCTTGCCCAAGTGATTTAAACAAGGATGATCCTAGCTCAGATTATGACTTTATTTGACCTGCAGCAAAGTTTGAGAACTTGGCCTCAAATAAAAAGAAAAGTCCATCATCTGTTTTGCCTTGGGTATTTGACCGGCCCATCATTATATGACTGGACTTGCTGATTCTGTTGTTGCTGATATTAAACGGCCTGTCCAAACAAAAGTTTCTATAATAGTAAGAAAGTGTGTACTGTGAGATCATATGGTAAAAATTCCTGAGATGAATCCCAGTATTGCTGTTAGTATGTATTCAAAGGTTTCTTGTAGCTTCCAGAACCATGCCAATCAACACTCCCAATCAGTGGCATGGCAGACAGATAACTGCAAAGGTGACCTGTATTCAAGCAGAAATCCTTTAGTTCACCAAAGCAGCAGAAGATAAACAATCAGAGGTGTAATTAAGACCTTAACCAAAGCAACAGTACACTTTCATTGTTGACCGAAAGTTGCTAGCACTTACTCTCTAGCAAGGAACAGCAATGTACAAGAACACGAGTCAAGGACTGAATGACAGAACCATGATATCATCATGTTCAATAAGCTGAAACTCTGCCTATATCTAAGGCTACATTACTTTGTCATAAGCTTAACCCAATGGTGTCTAAGATGCACTGTAACCCAAAGGTGTGTGGAATGTAATGGTAGAAGGAGGAAGAAGACGGTGATGAAGGAAACACTAGTAATCATGCCATCAGAAATGAGCTCTAGGCTAATGTCAAACCTAGAGTGTGTAGAAGAAGCAAGCCTATTGGTAATCATAGCATGCTTCCATTTTACTTTTTCCAAATTGCCTTCTCATCTATTCTACTGCGTGATCACATAACATCCTACCAGGAAAAACACATGATTGTGTTCTTAAGCTTTATTATTGTCATTTAAAAGAAATGGAATCTGAGCCCTACATAGGTTATATGACCTACCCAACACAGCAAATTGATATTAAAGAATTATTTATCCTGGTCCTCCTATAATAAACTTCACCCAATCTGAAATGTTTTTCTTAATAAAAATAAAACAAGAACACCATCTTAGAAGTTGCCTTAGTCCAAAAACCTTTCCACTAGAGTACCCCAAAACTCCTAAGGATCCCCCAAAAATCCTAAGAAAAAAATTGTGATTAAACATATAAAACCTACAGTAAACATCCTTTAAGTGGGGGTCACAAGAAATGAAATATAAAGGGGACAGAAATAGAGAAACTAGAGAGTGATTGGGGAGCAAAGTTGGAAGCACAGGTGCTTATTCAACAGGGGGCCATGGATGCTTCAGGGCCTTGGAACTTAACATACCAGGACCTGGGAGTAGATGATGAGGTACAGAACTGGAACTGAGACCTCAGAAAGAATGACCCTTGAAGGAAAAGGTTTGGCTTGAAGAAAAGCCAAACATTCGCACTGGCAGAGATCAGAGAGATAACCTTGTCCTGGGCTCTTGGTGAAGGAATGAAATTGTTTCCATCATGAATCTATATCTCCAGAACCCCCCCAGGGGAGGTTAGGGTTTTGAATTTACAATGCCTGTATAATTCAGGAATGTTCAAATTGTAAAAAGGTAGCTCTAGACCAATGATATCCCCAGAGTACCAAAAAATAAAACCCAAAACCTAGCTGGAAAGATATGCCCTCTCTCCATACAATCTAGGATACCACAGACGAAATCTCCACTGAAGATGAACTCATAAGCCTAAGCCACAAGACCTTTGTGGAAACAATTCACCACACTCAAGAGATGACAAAGCCAGCAAGAACCTGAGGTAACAAGAAATCCAGACAGAGATCAAGCATAATGTCTTAAAACTTAAGACACAAAAAACAAAGCCCAAGCTGTGAGGAAGTCATTGTTTTTAAAAGAGTAAAATTTGGAAGCCAACTGTGGTGGTGCACACCTGTTGTCCCAGAATGCAGAAGGTGAAGGATCATTTCAAGTCAGGGCTAGCCTGGGCAACACAGGCTTTTCTTCAAAATCTTTTCTTCAAAACCAAACTACACACACACACACACACACACACACACACACACATACACACACACACACACACACGCATACACACACGCACGCATGCACGCGCTAAGGATGAAAACTGCAAAAGTCAAAAAAGAATAGTAGAGAAAAGGGAAAACAAGCACAGTGACTGTGTGATATGTTCTTTACTATTTAGTCAGCCATATTTCCTAAGCATAAACGTCTACTTAGAAGCTATTCTACACCGGATGCTGCAGCAGATATTAGAGAAACTCACAGTCTAGTTACTACTCTCCAAATACAGGATAGTAGCAACACTAGCCACAATGTCAAACACTGTGTAAATTATCAAATGCAGTGAGACAAATGTCGTAGCTAATTCTTCTCAAGCTCCTCCTGTCCTTCCTGGACCGAAGTCTCAACAGAAATGAAAAGAATCTCTTGCAAATTGAAAAACAAACACATCTTTCCCAGGACTCCCAAGAATCCGTATTGGTCCCAGATTATCTGGGGGTCGTTTCTGGAAAGTTAGAATTCAGGACAAAGCCAGGCACAACGTAGCATCCAGACACAGTGGCTGAGCTCAGTACTCTGACCATTTCCATCACTTCTCATCTTTTGCTCAAATGGCTTCATGGTGATGACTCACACATGGTGAACAGTCATCACTCATGTCTTTACACCACCCATGAATACAAGTGGAAGAATGACTTAAAAGCAGCCTGGAATTGGCTCGTGTGCACAGTTTTAAGATTGTCCAATGTCACAAAAAGGAAGATTTTTTTCCATTACCCATTAGCAACAATTCCAAATAGCCTTTTGCACATGGATTCAGACACATGAAAAGAGAGAAGACCCAGTTCCTCCAGAAGAAAAGCAGATGAACTCT